TTGCCGATAATGCATGGAACTGGTAATTTATTGACGACGTAGACTTGGCCGTACATTCTGATCTTCTCGCCGTCTACTGCTTGCACGGTAAAAGGAAATTCTCTGATAACGTTGTCCGCAAAAATCGCTGTTGAGCTAACGCCGTCTATTCGCATACGTTCCTTGTTATTAAGTTGTTCCTCTTTGACCCGTGGATAATGTCGCAGCTGATCACGTCTGATGAGCGAAATCCCTGCGCCTGTGTCTGGCACAAAATCGATAGGTGTCAGGTCTGCGGCTTCCATGTATGCTTTCGCGGGTCGTTCATGCTGGAGGGTGGTTATGAGTACAGAGGCAGAGATAGGTGATAGGGTGGTGTTGGGGGTTTCCGTGTCAATAAGTGTGTCTTTGTTATCGATGTTCTGCATCGTTGGCTCCGTTGGTGCCGATGACGGTTGATGGGCGGCGATGTCTTGTTTTGAGCCGGAGTCGCAGCCGTCCGTCTGTGGCTCCGCTAGTCGTTTTCCGTTTTGTGGTCCATGGCGACGTCTTGTTCGTCGCTTCGCTGAACCTCGTCTTCGTCGTGTATGTCGACGGGGTTTTCGTCCGAAAACTCACAGTCGTTGTACTGGTCCAGCAGATCCATCATGAATGCGACACGTTTCTGACCGTATGTTCTGGGACGAGGAGGTCTGTCTGGGCACTCGAAGTCCTTGTGTTTTCCTCCACAGTGTCGGCACGGGTACGCCAGGGGCCGATCTATACGGTTGCTAGTGATCGACTTTAGTGCAGGTCGGGGAGGCTCCGGCAGCGCTTTTGCGTTGGTGGTTCGCGGTTGCAGCGCGGGGCGGTATGCCGAAGGCTGGTCTTGTCGTCGACGTGCAAACTCCTGTGCAGCAACTCGCAGTTGACCGTTCGCCTGTCGTCGTTGCTGTTCGAACATGCGTCGTGCGGAGTATTCCTTCTGGTAGCAGAGGCTGACAAAATCTTCCATCGTCATATATGGGTCGATGGTGACCGCGTTTTGGAGAGTTGGATCAAGATCACGCCAAATCTTCTGGATGAGAAGAAG